GGGGAGGGTTTTTTTTGTTACAGCAATGGGGGATAGTATTTTCTTTTTTCTCAAGAAGAGCGTTGTTTTATTTCTGTAATTGCATTGGTGTATTATGATGTCAGTTTAGATGTAACTTTCAGTATTGTTTCAATGACTGATCCACTGGGTCACAGGTTATCATTGGGAGGTTGCAAAATATTTCCTTATGTCTGCTAACAACACCAGATCTCTAAACTACAGCTGTGGATTTCTCCATGTGCTACTTTTTATGGCCTTGTATGCCATTAAGTGCATGCAGTGGTTTGTGCTTTGAGTGGTATTTGTCTTTTATTGAGGACAGACTAAAGCTGTCTATTAATTTAGAAAAAAAGAAATAGGAGTTTTCTCTTTGGTGCTTCATGTTCCTAATCAGACCAGTCTGATTGCACAGGATAGCTCAAACATAGGTTTGATTTTTACTATAAGTGTGATCTCACAAATGAGTCTGATTTTGCAATGAGTGCAAAGCTTGCAAATAAGTCAGATTTTACTAGTGTGAGCTGGCAAATGAGTCTGTTTTTTCTATAGGTGTGATGGAATAAGTAATGTTGTTTAATGCTAAAAATATATATTTTCCTAGTGTCTTTTGTATTGATGATCTCCTCCCTTCTAACTCATCTGAGTTTGAGAGATGTCACCTTATCCCTGTCGTACAATAACAAATTGTAGCTGTTTATGATGCACAAGTATTGACATTTTGGTCTTCACGATCTTGTTTAATTATGTTTGATCCTATGTAGACAAATGGATGTAAAACATGTAAATGTTTATATTTTAATTTACTGTAAGTATTATACATAAATAAGCATGAATATTTATTTCACTAATCTGAAATTTTTCCCTCCCTACAGCCCTTTCTACGGAGAAGACTTTTATTGTGAAATTCCACGAAACTTCAGACACCTATCCTTCTACATTTTTGACAGAGATGTTTTCCGCAGGGATTCCATCATGGGTATGAGTCATAATAAATTGTTTTGGATCACAAATCTGTGCTGCATTTTGGAAATAGTGAATTGCCTGCTTGGAGAGAATGTGCAGTGCATTTTCAGTGAGGGCATAGTTTGCATTCTGTTTGCGTTATTATTGCAGCATTTACCTTAAACTATTGTTGATATAATTTTCACATTTACTTCAGGCTTACATTTTTTTGTTACTTTATTACACAACTACCTGTTCCGCTGCTGTGCATTACCATGGGCGTCCCGAGGCCGGATGTCACCCGAAGTAGAGACCGGGTGACACCCCGCTGTGACGTCATCACACATGCTTGGTGATGGACGCCTGCAGAGAGAGGAGGGGACGTTCACCCGGCGGGATGAGGTATGCCCCCTCCTCTCTCCCTTTCACTGTCGGGCTCTTGGTCCCAAACCGTGTGCCCGACCTTTTAGAGGGGGTGACACCAAAATGACAGTCATGTTGGTGTGACTCCTCCAATGGTGTCACCTGGGTGCGGGCCGCACCCCCTATGTGACGCCACTGCATTACCACACACCAGTAACGTTAGGCATTTCCTGTTTAGTGTTAAGGCAACTTATTTTTTTATTTTCGGATAGCGTAAGGGAGGGTCAGCTTTTTTTTTGCCATTTGTATCCTATTGGGGATATTTCTGTTCATTTCTGGTCCAATAGCCACAACAGGAAGTGAGAGGAAATCCCTCCAAAGTTAGGGAAATGCCTGGTGGTCAGAGTTTTCATCCACAGAACAATAACAGGAGCTTCAGTTCCGAGCCTCTTTTATACATTTGCAGATCATCACTGTTTGGTTTTAGCTCAAGTATTGGAGTGATTCAATACATCTCATACAACTGTTTTAACCTCCTGCTTGGGCAAAAAAACAAAGAATCCAGATGCAGGAGCTAATAAGTATAAATAAGCAACTCCAGCTGCAGTACTCACCTGCGCCAATCCAGCACCCATCCTCTTTCGGGTTGAATGATACCCAATATCATTCAACCCACTTCCTGTGAGGCTAGGGCATTATAGATCTGCCTCTGCCTTGACCTCACAGAAGAATGTTGCAGACAGCTGCACTATTATGCGACATCTACTCTCTGCAAAATTTGCAATCCGTCTCGGAAGAAGAGGGTGAAAACCTGTGATATCACCCTACAGAAGATGCCTGGAATCAAGGTAAGTATAAAAAATATTTTATGGGTCTTCCAATAAGTAGGGGGGTCCCAAGGCCAGAGTTAGGCTTTAAATGAATGGATAGTATTAGATATCATGATATACAGTATATATTATTGTATAATTTATTGTTACTTCAGACTCAGAAAGTACTGAATCCACAGATAGCATGGCAGCCTTTAGAAGGAGAGGTTGTCATCTGCATCCCATGTATTTCCTTCAGCACATTTTTTTTCTTTAAGATCTGAAAATATCTTAGGCTCTGGGCTGCTTTCATTTTGAGTTGTAATTAACATGTACAGAAAGTACCAAGTGCTTTATTGTGTTCTTCTCCTACAATTTCCTATTTTACTGCTTGTTTTGTGGATTATGGGTATTTACAGCCTTCAAAATCTCAGAGAAAGCTTTGCTCTGTATAATGGCATTTACATGGGAAATGCAATCTGCTTTAATCCCGGTTTATCTGCTCTTTAAAGAGCTTTTGGATAAAAGTAATTTACGGAACAGCACATCCATCTCGATGTAATTTTGCACTGCTAGGCCATTTCAGAGGTATAACTATAAGAGTAATGAAAATTGTTTTTATATTTGTTGCTTTTATCTAGAAATGCAGTGAATGTCTCAGTAAAGATCAAAAGTCCAAGTATCCCATTGCACTCCTGAGCGTAAAATGTCCATGCGGCACGGCGGGTGCAGCAGCAACAACGGATGCCTCCGTCAAAAACGTACAAAATAATAAAGTCGCCGGCACAAGTATTCAAGTCAATAAGTTTATTGACCCAAGTGAAAACACCTCTAGCAACGTTTCGGGACCGCATCTCTGTTTGCCTGAGTAGGGGCTGCATGGTCCCGAAACGTTGCTAGAGGTGTTTTCACTTGGAATACTTAAGAGTGCCGGTGACTTTCTTATTTTGTACGTTTTTGACGGTGGCATCCATTGTAGCTGCTCCACCCGCCCTGCTGCATGGGCATTTTACGGTCATTTTACATGTTTTATGACATGTAGGAAAATCCAGTGCCAGCCATGTGATATCTTAGATTTGGGTGATTGCTGCTGGTGAGAATAGGGTAGAAGCAAATCCATTAGAACTATGAAGAAGTATAGGTTGGAATAAATTGCTGGTGTTCTCACCTCTTGTAGGAAAATGCAGACTACTGCTGGGTACGCACAGAGCAAATTTCGACCGATTCAGCAGAAATCATCTGAATGTGGTACACGTTTGGCCCAATCGCCTTATCAGACGTTGCTCATTAGGACGACGTTTACTAAAGGGACATACTAGAAAATAGCGGCAACCAGCTGCAAACCTGAACATGAAAAAAATGACTGTGCGTACCCAGCTTTATACAGGTTTGGCAGTAGGTTTCTTTTAGTGCCCAAACCTGGCTCTGGACCATTAAGCCTCATTTAGCAGCTGTCTCTTAGACCTATGGTTACCTTTACACTAAATTTGAAAAAATTAAATAAATAAATACAGCCGCTTTCTATCCCTTCAACCACTCTGATTGGGCAAAGCTTCTACTAGATCCTCCCACCCTCATACATTTCTATTGGCCCTTAACTTTGACAGGCTTCTTCACTGCCCATTAGGTATGTGTAGGAGGGGAAAGGGAATGGGTAAACATCAACAGTACCAAGAAGGGCCACAGCCTTGCCCAAACAGAATTGGGGGACTGGAAACTGATACAGGTAACCTTAACACTTAGGTTCCCCCTAAAATTATGCCACAAGCATTAACCCAATCCCTAAACAATGAAACGTAACCTCAAACCTAAAGCTGAAATTTAACCCTTGACACTAACACTTAATCCTAACGCTGGATTCCATAAAACATATAACATGGTGGGTGATTTAAACAACCTGTATCCACCAGTCTTTTTGTGCTGCTTAACACTCTCCCGTTCTCAACTTTGCAGTCCTGAGACTGCAAAAGCTAATACCAGGTCACATTTAGGTACCTACACTGCATGCATTGAAAAAAAATGCATATGATATAATAGTAAATACAGAGCTGCAATTATTTGTGTATGTTATATCTGCCTAAAGTTCAGCTTTTAGAATATTTTATGCTAAAAAAAAACAATAACTCATGTTATCCTTTCAAAAAATAACCTTGCCTCTACCAGCCATTGCAAATGCTATATTAATGGACAACCAAAATAAAAGGCTGTTATTTTCATTTAAGGCAGAGCTTTTTTTAGTTCAGCCAGCCACATCATGAGAAGTGGAAGTAAGGAGAGCCCCGACTGCACAGTGGAATGTACGAGTTAGTTCAGGTTTCTCTTGGTAATCCCTCCATTCCAACACATACTGTAAGGGTAGACAAGGCCCTAAAAATCTTTTTATATGACATTCAGCTAGGAAGTCTTCAGTGGTCAGCCCATTCATAGATTGTGGCTTAATTGCTTCACTGTCACATAACTAAATGGTAAAGAATGGCCATGACCCAAATCTTTTCCTTGGGTATTATTATCCAATATTTAATGGTAAATAAACATGCTAATTTTCCTACATAGCCAGATAATTTTAATTCATGGCCATATTTTATGCCATATTTTCTGTTTTATAAAATATGTCAGTTACAAGTAATGCTACTAAAACATTGTTTGACCTCGTGTATCCCTTTTCATGTTCTCTCTGTTATTCATTAGAGCAGATTATTGCAGATGTAAGCTGACCATCATCTCCTGTTTGTATCATTAAATTATTATATTTTATTCAAATGCGGCTAAGAGTTTGTTCACATTTGGTAAATTTTCAAATCAGTAAAACCTTTCATGCCAATGCTTTTTTTGCAGTGTGTATTATTATTATTATTATACAGGATTTAAATAGGGCCCACAGTTTGTGCAGCACTTTACAATACAGGAATACATTACAGTTACAATACAATTCAAAGGAAGATGGTTAGGAGGGCCTTGCCCCGTGAGAGTTTACAATCTAAAAGGTGTATGCTACAGATGTGCCATCCAAGTCCACTCAGTGAAGTTCTGTGGCAAGGAAAACACAAAGGCTACCATTGCTGACCTCCTTCTGAAATTCTAGCTGCCTGGCCTCCTCGAGCAAGCGTGAAGATCAGGAAAGTCAGGGTGAAGTCATAACGCCTAATCTGCATATTTGACCGGACACATAGACCTAGAAAGTACTGCAGCCACTAGATTAGCAGAGCAGCCAGGGATCTAGTATTTTCACAGGGAGAGGTCCGTATTTACGCATTAAATATGTGTTCGCTCACTTCGGGATCTACTGAGCCGACCTGTGACAGTCTCATTGTCACAGGTCGGCTAGAACTGTGAAAAGCACTCACCTCATAGTTCTCCTTTAAGCTCAACATATATTAATGCATGTAAATAAGCGGTAATTAATACATTTCTGGTGTAGTCCCCACTAGAAGTGCACCGGAATGGAAAATTCAAAACCGAAATTAAAAAAATTGTCAGGCCGAAACCGAAAATGTTTTTTATTTTAATTTTTTTTATATTTTTTATTTTTTACTTTACTTTTAGGGGCTTTGGGGAAATATTGGGGATCTAAACAGACCCCTGATATTTCCCTTTTAAAATAGAAAAAGAGATTGAGGACATAAAGTCCTTTATCTCTTTTTCTGTATCCCCTGTTATCCTCTATACTGAGTGTTCCTGTTCATTCATAACTTGAGAACAGTGTGTGCTTACTATAATCACAATTATGAATGAATGGGAAGTGATGTAAATCACTTCCCATTCATTCATAATTGAGGATATAGTTAATATGCTATTCCCTCAATTATGTACAAACACTCAGCGATCACTGAGTGTTTGTACCGCTCTCCTCTCTGAACGCTGT